ACGCTGAGCGACTTTTCGACAGTCGGGGCTCCGACGCCGAGGGCCCACGCATGGCCGGGCCCCCGGCCCCGATTCCGACCTTGAAACGCCTAACGTGCCCCTACAGTGCAGGTGGACCGAAGTGATGAAAGGACGAACTAATGTAAACAGGACTCGTGGGTCATCCGCACGATTCCTTTCAAGAGCCACTGTCAAAATCCAGAATGGAGTGTGCTCGGTGGACAACACTCCGTCCAAGAATACCATACTTATATTTCAGCGTATATTTGGACCGCGTTAAACAGAAAGGAACCATTAAGCCACATCAGCTATTGCCAAATTTAACCGGGCAAGTTAATTTTTTTCATGGAAACGGCTGTGCGGATTTTCGTGCAAATTTCAGTGAAAATTCTCCTCAATTTGAAGCAAATTCCTTAAAAAATTCAAAAGAATCCGCACAAACGATCTCTCGTAAAAAATTAAATTGCCCGGTCAGACTTGGCAATAGCTGATATGATGTGTCTTGGTTCCTTTCTGTTAAACTCGGTCCATTTGTGAGTGTACAAAGTGCGACAGAACCGAGGCTCATACATAAATTCATGCTTGAAGCAGTGGCGTGGCGTGCTTTGCGATACATCGATTGATCTGTCATTTATATTTGTAGAAAAGAATCGAGTAACGGCGTCCACAACGAACACCTTAACAATCGATGTGTACCAAAGCTTCGAATGGGGAAATATCGATAATCGATCAATAACGCCTCACCACAGGTTTAAAAGGATGTACTTGTTTTCAGAATGACTACGGGCTGAAATGATAGACAAATCGATCACTTAAAAAAAAAACCGGCTGAATTATGGAGCATGAAGTCATAGCTAGTGATTCGACGTAAAATCTCTACCTGGGAAGAAAATAATCTCCGGATTCCCCCAAAGATCTCAAATCTCCAGATTTTTTTAAAAAAAATCGATAGTTTTTTAACAATACATATATACAATACATAATAACAAAAAACAATATTTTTATCGTAGAATGGTGACGGCATTCGATATATCAATTATTTTTGTGATTCGAAACTAAAATTGAGAATGAGAGAGCCGTTTTTTCCTTATTTTGACCAGATCAGAAAATATCCTTGGATTTTCTGAAAAATCCTTTTACTCCTAGAGGTGCTGATAGATGTTGTGTTTGTAATTTTGAGGGTAACGCACTCTGGTAAAAATGGAAAATGGCACTTGCCTTCGGAACAGATATAACATCGAGATCAATGGCAAAAAAGCCAGGAACCAGTGGAAGTGTAAAACTAACGCCAGCATCAGCATTGATCACTGTCATCAGTTCTGATCACAGCAAGTACTGATCAGCACTAAGATTAGTTTCCATAAGCATTGAGCTCGAACTGATTATGACGACATCAGCGTCATTTGCACTGATCTTGAACTATTTTCACACAGAGTATAGAGTACCTATTTTTGACGTTGACCAGTGTCAAATATTTTCCAAAAACAAACAGCCACCTTCAGGTTTTATCACGACAGTCAATTCGCTACAATCCTAGCCAGGTTACAGATCATTGTTCAATTACACCTTCATTTCTTTGACATTTTTTGGAATACGCATTATCTCGTCGATTGAGGACATTTTCTGTAAAAGGGCTCACGAAGCTTGCGATGCTGCTAAATGGAGAATTTGCACACAAAAATTGTATTGGTTCATCTCAAAGTGCCTAATGAACTGAGTTTGCAGTATTTTTCATAATTTTTTCGGATTTGAGAAATTAAAGAAAAATTAATTTAAAAGTGAGGAAATGTGCCGCCTTATGACGTCATCCGGCGGCATTTCCCATTTAAACACATGTATTTTAGCATAATCGGTTATTTTGTCATATCTCCTCTAATAATTGCTCAATTTATGAATCCAGGGTATCTTCGTGTTCAGTTCACTTAGTAGATTCCACTAAAACACAAAATTCATCAAATTTCAGACCCTTGCAAATTCTCCATTGTGCATTATTTTACAGCGTTTTGGCGGAGGAAATTCATTCAAAGTCGACTTGCTCCCGTATATTAGTGAGGAACAACTCGAAGCAGATTCAGGAAAAACTCATAGAAGTCATCTGTCAGATAAGTTACTTATACGACTAGAGAGCTTTTATGTACAATCTTAGCAGCATTAGAAGTCTTATACGTCCTTTCACCGAAAAATGTCTCAATTATCGACTCGTAACAACACCATGATTGCTGTGGACGGAAAGGACAATGTGCAATAATCGGTGTTTGCGTTTAAGTACAAGACGTATTGATAAGGGTTCACCCAATGCTTTGTTTCATTCATTGATGCGTGAATGAATTAAGAGAGGCAGCGAAGAACGCGAGCAATTATCATGAATGAATTGTTAAGTCGTGCGCCGAGCCATTGAACTGCGAGTACAACTAGACATGGCCCGATCCGATTCTAAGATGCTATTCAGAGTTCATCGGGACTATTTTCCGTGTGGGATCCACAATAAATGTTCCTTGTATGTAAAACAAGGCTGTGGAATGGACTATTGGCACCCGGCGTTAAGATTAGTCCACTGATCAAAGACTCCAGCCCTGGAAGCCGTATTATACGGGCCATATAGACATACCGTTCGCATTCCGGGCTCAGAATCCGAAAGTTCCGGGCGCGGCACTTGGAGCAGTCAAGGCTTCGGCTCCAGCACCCGGAATTTTCGGCCTCTGAGCCCGGAACGGACGGTGTGTCTAAAAAGCCCGTAACTTTTTTTTTCAGTGTGGCATTCTGCCGTGCTCAGGAAGAACGCCGTATGAACATTCAAGAGTTGCCACATTTCCATCGATACAATGTTCATTTCGTAGGAAAGTTATGAATATTTTCCCTTAAAATTTCTAGGACTTTTTGGTGAAATTCCGAGGAAAATTATCTAGAAAATTAATCTGAAATATTTGAAGAAAAATATTCACTAGTTTATCAGGAAATTCGTGTTTTATCAAAGGAAGTTTGGTAACGCTCGAAGGTTCATCCGGCGTTCTTCCTAAGCACGGCGCAGCATTATCCTCCACTGTAGTAGGAAACCGACTGAATTGCGTTTCGAGGGAAGAGGGGGGGTAAACAAAAACAGAATAAACTGCGTTTCCTTACATTGGAAAAGTCATGCTACTTGAATTTTTTTGCGAACTTTCGTCATCCTATGACACTAATTCCAGTAACATTTCGAAAAGTAATATCAATTTTCCTTCGGATTGGACAGTGATAATCAGTGATTGAAAAATTGTCAAAGAGGCTTTCCCATCGCGTAGCTATGTAGTCCCACGGCCGTGATTCAGCCATGAGACACTGCCGAACTGTCCAGCCGGTGATTTGGTCACTCATTGTCAGGCCGACCAGTGGACCATGGAGGCCATGACCAGCACTATGAAAAATATTTAAATTCGAACGATGAGGATTATCCGGTTTTCGTTAGCGATTTGTTCGAGTGACTTGATCCGCAGATTTCTAAACGATGGAAAGTGTCCCTCCTCCGAAAGGTTTTAACCAATCTACTTTGTCTACCAATATGGCTATGTAGGTATTCGGCAAATCTTGACCACTAGCTAAGCGTTGCATGCTAAATCAATCTGCGGGGGTGGCCTGGTCACCACTTTTCCGGGGAAAGTTTTGAATTTCTCAGAAAAGTTACTTTAAAAGGAGTTTCAAGCGTGGTCGCCCTAGAAATTTTGCGAAAAAATTGACCTCTCTCATTTGCATTTTGAGGCTATTCTCACCCAAAATGTGTGTTTACAAGGTATTTTTTAGACCACTAGTGCCGGACTTTTTTCCTCGGTTGTTTAAGGTCGCACGAAGTAAGGATCCGCGGGGTTCGATAAGAAATCTACCCCCAAGAATTCGCACTTCATGATACCGACCCCCCAGCCCCCTTGCGAGGTAAAGGGAGGGAGGGAGGTCGTGATCATAAAAGTCGGTGTTCCCGGTTGTACTGCGATTCCGTCAAATCATACCTATGAAGAGTACAAAAAATTTCACTTTAATTATGACGCCTAAAATTCTATACTTGGACCAACATAGGCCGAAAAACGGGGGCCCGTGCCCCCAACAAAAATTTCTATTTGGTCACAAAATTGACGTAGCTACTATGGAAAGACATGGTACCCCAGGTAATCGACCCGGAAGAATCAAAATTTAATGATCCCGAAACCCCTCGCGTCCTCCTTGGGAGGTAAAGGGGGGCTCAATTTTTAAATTCGGGGCTCCGAATCGGAAATTGATCGCATCCAAATTGAAGAGCACGAGGAATGTAAACCTTAATTGACCCCCGAGAGTTAAAACTGACCTATTCAACATCCAAAAGTAATGCCCTAAAGAGGGGGATGGTGGTGCCCCCTCCAAAAATTGCTCATTGGTCGCAAAATTGACGTAGACTCTCCGGAAAAAGGCGGTAGCTGACACTAAAGAATCCCAATTTCATGGAGCTGTGTCCACTGGCCTCCCTTCGGAAGGTTAAAGCTGCACCTCAAATTCCGGTTTTCCGTCAAGATGTTGAAATTTTATCAGAAATTTGAAAAATGACAAGAGGACTTCCTGACTTTGTACCAAAGACAGATACGGACCGATTCCGAACCCGAAAACTCAAATTTTAGACCCCCCCCCCCCCCGGGTAAACATGTAACAAATTGAACTGGAATGTCGTCACAGTCGACACTGTTCCTTTATGTTTGGGATATTGCCTCATGAGTGAGGTTTTACAGGGTTATTCAAAAGTCACGCACCGCTAGTCATAACTTTAGTTCTAATTACGATATCGACTTACGATTTGTGACGCTTTTCCTCATATCCTTGGGAAAACTTTTTCAGGTACTTTCCAGTATTCGACCCCCTAAGGGGAAGAGGACGGGGGGCAATTAAAATTGTCAAATGGCCACCCCCCTCATGGCCAGTGGTGCGTGATTTTTGAATAACCCTGAATCTTCCGAAGAACTCAATCAAAATCGAGTTCGCGGACAAAATGTAGTGCATGAACGAACCTTTGAGTAAGCCGAGGGAGTCAATCAGCAGCAAAAAAAATATCCAACATGAGGGATCTCAATCCCGAGCCACACTCACACACACAGACACGGATCACCGCACACAATGACGGAAACAATCGGCGCGAACGTGAAACATCGAAGCGGCCCTCGTCGGCCCTCGCGTCTGTCGGTCGCCGCGAAGTTCCGAACACTGACTCCGAAGTTGACTTACCTTCTCGGCGGCGGCGGCAGCGCCC